TGTAAAGGGTTTTTTCTTTTAGTTCAATTTTTGTTTAAATATTTTTTTCGTTTAAGGCAAAAATGACGAGCAGAAGCCCTTCTCGTCATTAGGACAAGGATTAGTTTTGTTTGGTTTTTGTTTTTCCTTTCTTAGTTTTATTTTTACAGTAATTTTGAATTTTCTTTATATCTTACCTGTTTATATTATGAAAATATTAGATTAATTGCATGCATTTAAAATTTTTGGGTTGGACTTAATAGGGAACAACGTTCGAAAATATGCAATAAAAATATCGAAGAAAATTACTTTTTTCTTTTTGTTAGAGAAATTATTCGTACTTGATTCAAAATCATAGATGAATTCTATCATTTGTAGAAATAATAGTCGATGTTTGAATTAAGTAGAAGTGGGTGTCAGATAAATATTTCGAGAGTGACAATAAATAGTAATCTACAGTTTTCATCAATTGAGAGACGCAAAGTTTGAATACATTTTTATATAATATTATGTAAGATAAAATGATTATTTAACTTCGCATCTGTATTGTGAAATTATAGCTCACAATAGAAAGTTTTGTACTATTAATAAAGAACATTAGACATATGCTTGGGTAGAATTAAAATTTAAAATATGAGTTGCGCGTCGTATACACCGAGCGAGAGAATAGATTTCTTATATACTTTACAATATGTGAAGGACACTCAGAAGTCAAAATTTTAACACTATTTATTTTTATTTTCCTGTGAAGGTTGAATAGAAGTCGTTGAATTGTATAAGAAAAAGTGTTTCAAACTTAAAAAGAATTTTTTTTAATTTTATGAAAGTTTGAATTTTCACTCTATTTTCCTTATATTTGAAGACAATGGTATCTTGAACTTTTTTAATTAATTGTTTTCAAGTATGAAACGCACTTTTTCTTCTAGAGATCGACGAACTCTATTCAACTATCATGAAAAAAGAAAAATAAAGACTATTAAAATTTTGACTTCTGGGTATCATACATATACTGTAAATGTCTAAAAAAATCCATTATCTCACGTAGTGTATACTATGGGCAGCTCATGTTTTAAATTTGTTAGCTTGACATTGAGAATTTTAACCGTTTGAAGATCAGTGTACTTTATAAAGTATACCTTTTTTAGGTTTTTTTAATTCTTACATAGCTCGCGAGCGCAAAAAGGATATCAAAATGTAGTTTGTTCTTTGAAAATGGGCGAGATTTCTGTGCGTAAATCCATAAAAAAATTATAACCCAATTGTAATCATTCAGGTGATAAGCCTGATGAGTTTTTAGCACACCACATCTAGGAGGAGTGTGGATAATACCATTTTGCGGTCTCGAAAATATTTCGATTTTTCTACGTTGTAATCAAGTTAGGAGAGCGACTTCTAGTAGTATTTCAAAGGTTGATTTTGTGATAGTTCTCCATTGAATTTTGATCCATATCCGTACTCCCCTACAAGGATGACCAAAATACCTCGTCGCCATCCTCATAGAAGGAAATGGGCGTATGGTTCGAAAATGACTTGAAAGGTTTTTAAAAATTTTGATGAAAATATCAATAATACACACTGCCCATGTTAAATATAAAGTCTCAAAGAAATTTCGTCCATTGATTGAGCAATGATTCTCAAAGGATTAATTGAACCTAAACATGTCGAATGTTCTTTACCAACAGTAGAAAGCTTTTCATTGTTAGGTTATTGTCTTCTTCGCTCTTGATACTCATCAAGCCAAAATAAACTCCTATTCAATGTGTAAAACGAATAGTTATTTTAATTTGACAGTAGATTTTTATTGCTTGTTTATATACATAGGCAATCGATTGAAACTGACTGTTAAACTAAAATAATTTCCGGTTACACATTGAACAGGAGTTTGTTTTATTTTGATTAGTATTAGGAAGTTAGAAGATAATTATCTGCGTTATACCTAGGATACAGATTCGAAATGTCTTTATGTAATGTGAATATTAGCGGCGAAAAGTTATTGATTAAACAATGATTTTACGTTACATAATATCAAATTAAAACACATTCGTATTGTGCATCTTTCGATTGATGAAAAGTGCACGTCACTAGCTATTGATATTCGCGAGATATTTATCTTACATTTATCCCCAATTAATTCTGACTTCAACAACACTTCAAATAACAGTAAATAAGAGCATCCACATAAAGAATTTTTTTTATTAACTATTATATTCTCAAAGAATGCTAACATAAATAACTCATATAATGATTTCCCCAGTGTTATTTTACTAAGAATTCAATGAGTTCAGCTCAATGAGATATAAATCTTGATTCCATAGCTTATCGTTTGTTCTTACTCTTGAAATAAAATAATTGCTTTGATCTATGAATAATTGTAAAGAACACTTCAATAAAAACTGAAATTTACAATATGTTTTAAAAATAATTTTATTTTGATTTAAATTTTTATAAATCTCTTCATTTAAAAAAAAATGTTTTTTAACCTTCAAAATAAAATAAAAAACAAATAAGATGATTCACGCACTCCCTCTACGCAATTATTGCACAACTATGAGTTTTCATTCTTTTCGTGTAACTCAAACAGATTCTATTAGTTACATGTATTTAAATTTTGGAAATTTACACGCAAATACTCTGTGAAACTTATCATTTTTTTTTATTATACGTGTGACCTGAGTCTTTTGATGGCTATGACAAAAAATGATTTTAATATATGAAAAAGAAACAAAAAATATTTTTCGAGGTACTCGCGGCTTTTTCATGACAAATACGCGAGTCATCAATGGCTACTTAGACCTTTTTTTAATTTGATCCCATTGCTTATTTCAATTGTGTATGATTCTCTTTTAGCTTCAATCTTTACATTTGTTTGAATAGAGATTTATATCACATATATATCTGATCAAAGCTGTATTAAATTCTTTTTTTCTTCTACGCAATACTTAATTTCAGTGAATAAATAAATAATACATCGTTAATAATCAATGTAAATCAATCTCTGATATTCTATGAAATATTTTCAGTAGAAAATTGCATATATCCATATTAATAAATAAATTGTCTAATTTTATTTTATTTGAATTTTTGTATATCATCGACGAATAAGAAATTTCTCATAGTAATTCAACAAAAATGTATTCATTCTCAAAATTTTGTTAATGCTTATTCCCAATAGATGTTCATAAGAGGATAGAAATCCCTTGTTGGTACAAAATAATTAGTAAACTAAATATAAATTGTCATTGTATTGCATACAAAATGATTAATATATTTATATATATAAATAAAACATAACAAAAAGAATTATTTTATGGATGAAATTTTTCTTTTGTTAGCATATATTTGTGAAGAATTACACCAATATTTTACATGTCTCTATTCACAAGTCTATTTGTTCGTTATCAAACGATAAAAATGTCGTACTTATGACTATTACCATAGAGAAAAAGAAAACCACGAAATGTGATTCTGTTCTGTATTTTTTTATGTTGCGTGCTAGTCAATATTATCTTAGTTGATCACGTAGACCGCTTTTTTAACTAAATTACTTACTAAAAGTGCGACTCTGTATTGTTAGCACTATTCATGTTAACATTTTGAAAAAAGAAAAGAAAAGAGAATAGGGAATGTCAAAAGATACGAACAAATATTTATTTTTCATATTCGTTTGTTCTTTGATTATAATCATGAAAAGAAAAAGCAATAAATAACAGAATACAGAAGTCTTTTTGTATTACTTACGACAAATTTATTGAGTTTTTTTTTTTTTTTTTTTTTACTGAAATTCTCAACGTATTCAAACTTCGAACGTAGACGAAATTCGGTGTTTTTCGGCTTCTTGATTAGTCACCGTGTATTTATTTATGCTTATATTCTTCTGTTGGCGATGGTCGTGTTTTCTTCTTTCTCTCCCCTCATTGACAATATGATTGCATGTATGCACATAGTGACGACTGCAACGACACCGAACATCAACGAAGAAAAAGAAAGAGAGAAAAAAGGAAGAAAAAAACTTCAAAACGATGCATCGAAGAGCAGTCATATAATTGTTGCAGACTTTCGTCAAATCTATGAGCTATTGAAAGCGCATCCATATACATTATAAAACATACGTTAAAAACAATCAGGTAATAAATACATTCATCACAAAGAAATTGATTATCGTTTTATTGTCATAAAACAAAAAATAAAAATATATATTCTGTCGTTTAAATCTCAACTTTCCAATCTTCTGATCTTTTTTGTAGCTTAACAGATTCGGTTACATTTTGAATATATTTCGTTTCTATTTTATGCATATAATTATGTGTACGATATTTCGTATATGTTCTTCTTTTCTTTATCTAAGATAGAGTATTTTATATTTTGATGCAATTAGCCATTGTTTGCGTCCTTTGTTTCTTTTGTTTAATATACTCATATAACGAAAAACGAACACATTTATATACTTTTTTTTTTGTTTACTATTTTGATAAGCTAAAATGAAAGTCAAATTTTATGTATGAAATTCAGCATTCTCTACTTGAATATATTTATTTCTGTCTTTAATATAAAATAGTATTAGAGGTAAGAGTAATCAGACATCAACATCAGTAGATTTATTTTGTTTTCTTTTCTCATGATTTATGATAGATAAACTCTAGATTGGAAAGATATGGTTAAAAAAAAGCCGAAGGCATGAATATCATATTTTTCAATACTTGAGAAGTTTTGTAGTAACACATCATACCTTGGTTTTTTTATGACAGAATCAAAACTAAAATTATCGTGTTTGAAAAAGAACAAAAAAAAATTCTTTTTTAATCATTATTATTTCTTTCATGTTCAGTGAAAATTTTTTTTATAATGGCTGACGTTAATATTCAGTCATTATATACACGCGCATCAACGATGGTATGTATCTATATTAATTATGCCTTCTTAACTTAATGCTTTTCATAACATACTGTATTTTTGTTATTATTTAATTGAATAAAAATTTAAAAAAAAAATATTTTCTTTTGGTTCGCTAGATTTCCAACGTTATGGAAAATCTTTTAACACATATACAAAAACAATTGAATGATGATTCATCTGATAATATTGATTCGGTATCATCACCAGTATCGAGCTCAAATACTGGACATGAATTTCGTCAAATTCAATTACCTCAAACAAGAATGGGTATAGGATCAACAGAAGGTGATTTAATTGTTATGATGAAACAATACCTGGAAATTGTTGGCCTTGTCTTTTTTGTTTGGTTACTTGGTAAGTGAGAAACATGATTGTCATATCTATTTTTTTTATTATTATATGCAAAAAAAAGAATTTGCTTATAAGTGTCTTTAAAAGGATTTGCTATTTTTTTTCTTTTTTTGAAAAGTTCTTTGCCTAAAGCATCTTCAAAATGTAAATTGAAATTTGATGATTTAAAAGAAAGATTCATTTTTAAATGTTTTTTTTTTTGTATTTTTTCAAGAACAACAGAGAATTTTGATATCTACTATCAGTTTTCAGAGTTAACTTATTCAATATTATATTTTGAGTAACTTGATACGATTAAACAGAGTGTTGGACTTAATTAAAGAAGATTATTGTTCACAATAAATTGATTCGATTTACGTCAGCGTTCGACTATTTCTAAAACTATAAACTCAATGAAGTAAAATTTTTAAAGTTCAATTTGATTAAAAACAAGAAAATACCTCGCTGATTATCATTCTACAAAAAAATGCCATCATCATGAGTATCAATCTTTTATTGTTAAAGAAACTCCAACTCACAAAGGAGGGATTCGATAAATATTGATATAGCGCCCTTGGGAAATTTGATTTCTTCTTTGTCAAACTATCATACAAGATGTTCAAAGGTGAGCCCTGGTTAGAGCCCGTCGGGTTCAACATTTTTGAACCCGAACCCGCACCTGGATCTGCATTGTTGAACTTTTCTTGGACCCGTACTCAGTCTTTAAAAAAAAATTTCAGAACCGGACCCGAAAAATAGAAAATTTTTAGGCCCGGACGCGATCTCGTCTGTGTCTGAGATCAAAGCAACGTGTTCTATTGAACACAAACAATTTATTTTCAGCACTAACATCCAAAAGCAACTAACTCTTCAGAGAAAACTGAAGATCAGTAAAACTTCGAAAAATATTCGCATATGCACCAAAAATTGCCTTAGACCCGGATCTGAACCCGACGGGCTCTAGTTCTGGTAGAATCAATCATACAGCATTTATTTGTGTTGTGCACATACCGATTGAAATAGTCTCAATGACCATCACATGTACATTGAACTCGATCGTTGACAATAATCAGTTCTTGCTATCTACTCATCTCATGAGCGATTAGGCTATTTTTATATTGTTTGATAGTACTTTTTTAGCGCTTTAGAATGATATAACAGTATTGAGGAAGAAATACAGATCTTTAAAAGAAATCCTAAAGGCACTATTTTCGAGAAAATGTTTTGAGCCTTTTCTTTCTAGTATTCAATAAGTTTCGATAAGAAAATTACGATTTAGATAAAAACGAATATGATGTTGTGCATCAGCATTCAAAACCGAGTGGATTTTTATGTATTTCAAATATTTTCATAAGATTTTTAATTACATGAAAAAACTCAGCCCAGGTCGTCCTTAGAATAGGTTCAAAAAATGAATTTCATCAAGTACTAATTTTAAGAGTGTGAATCAAGTTATAAGATTATAAAACGAGAGTAGAACTCCAAATAACAGATGATAAACAAAAAAAAAACATATTTCTTATGAAATTCATTTCTTGATTGAACCCTGCAGAGACAAGAGGTCAATTGTTCGACGATAAAAAAGTTTCTGAAAATATTTTAAATATATGCCAGTCCGTTTCATTTGGGGTACTGATTCAGAATATCACAAACAGTCGAGTTCGATTTATATGTAACAAACATTGACTGATTCTACTAGGATTCACTTTCGAATATCTTGTATAATAATTTGATATAGAAGCAATCAAATTTCTAGAGGTAACCAATTTTAACACTTATTGACCTTCTTCTTTCTAAACACGAAGAAACATCTGACAAGTATAACTAAGAGTATTGTCTCTGATTTAAGAATCATAAGGTTTAATAAAAATAATAATCATTAAGTCAATCACTTCACCATAGATTGTTATAGCATAAACAAAAATCATCACGTTATTGTGTTATTCACAGATGATAAATACTTCTTAAGATGTCAAGATTCCGTTGTAAAATCTATGGTAGATTATCATCTTCAAAAATATATTCCAAGTTAAATTTTTCCATATTGCCTTCAGTAAAGGGAAAGCTAATAATTTATTATCTTTTATAGTGTTAGAGTTCTACAGTTAAAAAGAAAATATTTTTTAAAACTAAATTTGTTTGGTCGTTTTTTTTAGGATATTTTCATTTCAGTGTCTCATGGATTTTATTAGCTGTATTTATATATTTATTTCGAAAACGTCAACGCAGTCAGTCTAAACTACGCCATAAAATGTTAAATCAAATAAACAATAATGAAGAAAAATATATTAAAGCAAGTCTAGATGAATTGCCATCATGGGTAAATAAAATTTTTTAAAATAAAAAGAACAAAGAGAATAGTTTCGTTTCTTTCATAGGTTTTTTTTCCTGATGTTGAACGAGCAGAATGGATGAATCGAATAATAAAACAAGCATGGCCATATGCAAATAGATATCTTGATCAAGCTGTTTTTCGTGATGTACTTATTCCATTAATACGTGGAACATCATCAGCATTATCAGATTTTTCATTTCAAAAACTTGATCTTGGAGAAATCGTATGCTTTTTTTTTTTTAAGTTGTGATTTTTCTTTTTAATCAAAGTTTTATTTTTAGCCACCTAGAATTGGAGGTATTAAAGTTTATACAGATAATGTTCGTGATCAAATTATGATGGACGTTGAAGTTTTGTATGTTATTTTATACACGATTGTTTTTATTTTTGAAGTAAAAATTTCTTATTAGTTATGCTGGTGATGCATGTATTAAAGCAAAATTAAAAGGAATTGTATGTGGAATTAGAGATATACAATTTGTTGGTGATATTCGAATTATTTTAAGTCCTCTAATTAATACAATACCATTAGTTGGTGCAGTAACATATTTTTTTCTTAAAAGACCTGTAAGTCTAGAAAAAATTTATTTTATGAAAAACAAAAGTCAAGTTTGGTGTGACGTTTTGATTTTTAGAGTATTGATTTTAAATTAACTGATGCTGGGACATTAGTTGATATACCTGGTCTTAAGTATGTAGAAATAAAAAAAAAAAAAAAAAGAAATTCAAACATAAAATATATTAATTTATATTTTTAATAGTGATATAATGCTTGTTCAAATAAATGATATTTTAGCATCAATGATGGTTTTACCTAATAGACAAGTTCTTCCACTTGTTAACGATATACAAATAGGATATTTAAGATGGTCTAATCCTCAGGTTATATTGTTGAAATTTAATAAGGATTTTTAATGAATTAATATTTGTTTTTTAGGGTGTTGTACGAGCATTTATTTTGAGAGCACAAAATTTAATTAAAGCAGATATTACACTTCTTGGAAAAGGAAAAAGTGATCCATTTGTTAAAGTTAAGGGTATAAGAGAATTTCTTCTTTTTTTTTTTGTATGTTTTTTAGTGAAAATTTTTTATTATATCTATAGTACCAGGTAGTATTGAGTATAAGACAAAAACAATTAATAATACAACGGATCCGGAATGGAATGAAGTATGTTTGATTGTTTTTTTTCTTTTTATTCTAATTTGTTTTGTTATTTTCAAAAATAAGGTATTTGAATTTGTTGTTGAACAATATGAAAGTGATTCAATTGAATTTGAAGTATATGATGAAGATCCTGGTAAAGATGATTTTATCGGAAGGTAAATTATATTTTAAAATAAATCTTTAGAATTTTGAATGTATTATAATAATTTTATATCATAGAATAAATAGATCGAATGAAAATTTTATTAGAGAAGTACATGTCTTTTTAATCATCAATAGTAAAAGTTCTTCGATTGAATATTAAATCTATTTAGACGAAATTGTTAAATTAAATATGAATGTATTGTTATGAATCTTTAGTTAAATTGATAAAAAGAGAGAATCCTGCATAGCAACAAATTCAATAGCCTGATATTTTCTCTACAACTATGACTAGCTACAGCTCTGGGCGTAAATTTAAAAGCTAGTTAAAAATGATATTGACTTGTACACTTGTCGTTTCAAAGAAGATATAAAAAATGAAACTAATGTATCCAAATGAGTAAAAAACTGTCAACATCTCTCAATCGAACCATTCCTAATTCTTAGAATTCTATGTTGTAGTCAGAAATTAATTTTATAATGAAAAATTCCAAATCTTTTTTTTCTTTCGTAGAGCTCAATTTCGTCTTAATGCATTAGTTGACAATGATGCTGTTGATACTGTATGTTATATATTCTTAAATTATAAAATTTACTATCAGTCGTTTATTTATTTTTATTTTTATTTTCTAGTGGTTAACCTTACAAGATGTGAAAAAAGGTTCATTAAATGTTAGTTTACAATATTTTTCATTAACAAAAGAAAAAGCCGCTCTTGAAATTGTAAGTTAAATATTAATATATGTTTTCGTTTTCGGTCAAAGATTTATATTTTAATATTTTTAGATGGAAAGAAAAAATAGTCAATTGATAAAACGAGAAAAATTATCAAAAGCTTTACTGGTTTGTTATATTGATCGGTGTAATAATCTTCCTGTAAGAGAACAAAAAAAAAAAATCTTTACTTATTTGATTTTATTTACAATCTTCAAATATTAGCGATCAAAAAAAACTCGTCGAGAACCAAACCCATTTTGTCGAATTAAAGTTGAAGGGACTGAAAGGAAAACTCAAGCATTTGAAAGTCAAACAAATCCACAATTTGAACATGTATCACAAATTTTATGTGCAAATCCACTTCATGAAAAATTAAAAATTGATATATGTGATGGACGAAATAATAATGACATAATTGCATACTTTGAAATATCCATTAAACAAATCTATGATACTGATACAATGACTATTGATACACAATCATATCCACTTAGAAGTTTATCTGAACCGTTAGATAAAGCAGAAATTATTCTTCGTTTATCACTGTTTGTAAGTAAAAGACGGTAGCGGGAGAAAAGGGCTGGGCGCATAAGAATACATTTCGACCAACCTAATTAAGTTTTATATAGAATAAAAGATTATAAATTTCTAATCAATTTGATTCGATCATATATTTGAACAGGAACTATTTTCACGATATACTACATGGGTAATTAGTTATAGTGATACTAACCAGCAATATCAGTATTTATTTGACAGAAAATAGAAAAAAAAAGGTGAGGAGCCGTTTGTTTCAGTTAAATTTTCATACAAAAAAAAACATTCATTTAAAATAATATTTTGAATCTTTTAGACTAAATACAGCTTGTCAATTGCTTAAGTTTTAAGTGTGAAATTCCCATGTGTATTCTATTTATCGTTGAATTATTGTATTAATGGTCTGTCCTTCACACTTAATTAACTTCGTGATTAATAGAGTCTTTTCAAGCGTTACAAGACATATTGCTTTTTGTGCTCTAAAAAGAATAGACCACATAGTAAAACCTTCAGTCTATTACTTTTGAGACCCAGTTTTTAACTTATTCGACTGATATGTCATGCTTTTGTGTTTCTAACTTTTTCTATGGTTTCGTGTTTTTTTTAATCAAATTTTCACCTTCGGGACTGTCTCAATGATGTGTGAGAAAATGCATTTGCTTGAAAAGTTATTGCAGCAGTTAAGAGCAAGTTCTCAACTTGCGAATATTTTAAGATAAAAAGATAGTCGACAAACAATGAAACAATTGATTTGATTCAATTTATTTTTTCGACATATTCCTGGATGGAATCGTTGAGGTGAAAATCTGATCAGAAAAAGAGAGTCATCAAAAAAAATTTGAAACATACATAAGTCGACTCACATTTTGGTGCTGATTCCAAATTTGATATTTGCGTGAAGTGAAATACGTACTTATCTCCTTGAACACTGTCAAATATCAGTTGAAAAAGTTTAGAATGGAGTCTTAAGAGTAATGAACTAAATATTTCGTAGTGCTTGAAAAGCTCTATTGATCACAAAGAAAATTAAGTTATGGAAGAAACTTCATGAACACCATAACTAAACGACAAGTAGAATTCACATGAATATTTCACACTCAAAACTTAAGCAATTCAAGACTTGCATACGATCTTGTAGATTTATAATATTTTTTTCAATGACTCTTCATCTTTCTCTTATTTTCTATCAAACTAATGTTGGCATTGTTGGCTAGTATCGAATGAGTTATTGTCAATTCAGCATGTCGTAAAGATAGGTCCTGTTGAAACCTATGATCAGGAATTTATGATCTTTCATGCTATATAAAACTTAATGAAATTAAACTTTGCAAATCAAAAGAAGTCGAAATGTATTCTTATGCATCTTCGTCCTATTTGCAAAAGAAAAATTCATTGAATTTTGTTTTATTTTCTTAAAAAGATTTTGTCTCCTGGACGTTCAGGTGAAAGTCGCTTAAGTCCATCACCAAAATTACCATCATCTCCAAGTATGAAATCATTTGATATGTTATCAACATCAGGAACAACTACAACAACAGATACTAAACGTAATAATATGCAAGCATCACCACTTCAAACATCATTGGAAGAAGATAATGCATCGAAATCAATTGCATTTGGTCTTCAAATGCATGTAAATATTAGATTAGGATGATATTCAATTGAATTTATTTTAATATTGTTTAGTATAGATGAATGGAGGGAAAAAAAGCCATTTTATGATTTTAAGATTGTCTAAATGAAAAGGAATTATTCCAATGGGGTGTCTTCACAATTTTCCAATTCTAAAAATATGTAAAAGTTGATTTTTGTACTTTGCATAGAGTTTCTTATGAACTACTAATCTACAAAAGAAATTCGATATGTTTAATGCATACACCAAAGAGTAACATATTTTAGGAATTCGGTAGTCTTTATTATAGAAATAAGATAGCTGTAAGAATCATTGTAGATTGTATAAACACTACGAAATTGTCTTAAAGTATTTGAAATTGAGTATTTATTGAAAAATCTTCATAGTTGAATAATATTTTCATACTTTATCTTTTATTAGAAAGTACTGATTTTTAGACCAGTTAATGTATAGTAAGTCTTCAATTAAAGAATACAATAAAGGAATGTGATTAAATTGTTTGAAAATTCAAGAAATCATACTAAATGAAATTTTTACTGTTATAAATTTAAAAAATCTTCTTCAAATTAACAAAAAAAATTATATGTATATTATTTTGTAGTCACCGTTGTTTTCATCACTATAATATAAGATTGACGAAAGAGTTTCAATACTTCAAGAAATTTTTTGAATAAAATTCATATTTCCATTTTCAGATATTTTAAAAATAAAATGGAAGAGAAAAAACGAGATTTGAGACTTAAAGAAAGTTTGTTCAGCAAAAATCTAGGATGAGATCCATATCATTTATATAGATTCTCTTTCAATTCAAAGAACTATGCAACCATTATAACATTTTTTAAAAATTTTTAAAATCAAACTCAACTTTTTATATTACTCTTTCGTAAATATGTAAATCTTCGAAGACAACATTCCATTATATATGTCATTCATTGATTTATAGTCTTTACGAAACTATGAAGAAATAAAAACTTAATAATTAATTTCTTTTTACAAATAGTCGACACCAATTAGCCACCATTCTTTATTGGAAAGTCGTATAACACCTGACAAAAAAACTTTTATTGTATCTGATGATCCTGATTTAAAGTAATAAAATTGTTCTTATTTTCAATTTATAAATTATTCTTCAAAAAATAAACACAGATCAATACATTTTGGTAAAATAAAACTTGGTATTCGTTATACTCATCAGCGTACAGCTTTATCCGTAACAATATATGCATGCAAGTACGATCTTTATAAAGAATTATTTTGACAAAAGAAAACAATTATTTTTTCAAGAGGACTTATAAATGTTCATCAACAGAATTTACCTGATCCATATATACGTCTTTCTTTAATACCAGATTTTAAAAAAGATAAAAAGAAAACAAAACCTATTCATGATACACTTAATCCAAATTATGATGATTTGTAAGAACTAATAAATATAAATTATATATATATATATATATATTTACTATTATTTAGATTTGAATGGTCAGCATCATTAGTTGATGTACGTCGACAACGTCTTTCTATAAGTGTTAAAAATAATTCACCATTGTTTGCACAAGAACAAACATATATGGGTGATGTAAGTAAAAAATGATACAAATAAAGATTGTCTTTTTTTTTTTTTTATTAAATTTTTTTTCAAGCTTCAAATTGATTTATCAAATCTTGATCCAGAAAAAACAAGTATTGCTTGGTATGCATTACAAGAACCAAATACAAGTGGTGGTGGAATTATAAAAATAAAATATGATACATTAGAATCAAATGAATAAAAGACAAAATTGAAATGAAAAATATATTTTGTTTTCCTTCCCTTTTTTTAAACAGCTTTTATATAATTCTATTCATATTTTCGCATTTTTTATTTTATTCTAAAATATTCTTCTTTAATAACAATATGTTTTGTTTTAATATCATTTGTGTGAATTATAGCATAGATTTATAAGCGAATACGACTTAGAAGAAAAGTTTTATTTGATCAATTGATAAGAAAAAAGAAAAATAATATAAATCACGCATATTGTGATCTTGTTTCATTTGAAATGAATTCTGTATTTATAATCTCATATATTGAAAAGTATCCTGGTGGCCTTAGAATTATCAAAATTTTTTGCTAATTAATCATAGCCAGAGGTGTTCGACATTGAAAAGGGAAGCTGTTGTGTTTTTTTTTTACCAGGTGTAAAGTTTTTCTAGCAGAATTCAAGAATCATTGTCGATTGCTTTGGGGAAAAAAACAACAATTTTTTCATGATTGCAATGTGTTACAACCTTTCAATCAGACCACTATTATTTCTAATTGTGTCAAAATGACTATCTTATTCATATCTTGATGAATTTCCATATAATGGACACTATTTTTTATTCTAAATAAAAAAATCGATTATTCAGATTATGTAAGAAAGTGTTCTAAACTGTTAAGCTAATCAAAATGAGACCATGACTCAGTTAAATGTTTCTATGATTTTTTTTTTTGATATATTGAAAATGATTTAATAAAATTACAAGACAATACACAACATCTGAACTATCTATCCTGTTGTTTAGGGTGTAGGTGTAGATCAGAACTATCAATAGAGTACTTTTTTCGGTCTCGCTTGACCTGAAGGCGCCTACAGGAAAAACCAAAGCGACTGATGTTTCTGTATTTTTAAATTCACTAACAATGGAACTGTTTGTTATGTCAAATAGTTTTCCATTGAGTACGATAATTTGATTCGAATATAGTTAATCAAATCAACTGAAATGACAAACCGTTTCATTGTAAGATATCATCTACACTGTTGTACGAAAATAATTTTCAGAACAACGTGTAGAATATTAAAACTGGGGTAGATGACAAAAAGAATAAGTGATGAAATTCAAAAACATTATATGAAAGTTCGCCCTTAATTAACCCTTTACGGCCGAATGTTGCTTTTTGGCAACATTTTGCCAATATCATCTTAGGATTTATTTTAAAGTGACGAGATATAGTTCCTTAAGCGATCTGATAATTAATTACACGTATTTT